AAAAGTAAAAGATCTTATGAGAAATGATGAAGAAATAGGAAGAAAATAAAAATTATCTATTAGTAATGATAATAAATAAAATACAGGCTATGCTTCTTTCTTGGCCATCAATTGCAATGCAGCTAAATTCAATACAATTTATTATGTCTACTCATCATTTGTTGCTTGAAAAGCTTCTTTTTCTCGCTAGGCTGAGCATACAATAGCTGGAGACACAGGAAGGCAAATTCAACTCTATGTCTTCTATGTGGAAGGAAACACAAATTGGTATTCTATTCTAAGACAATATAAGAGTTCAATTAAAAAAAACTTCTTTAATAGTCAACATGTATAAGAATATTAAAAAGTATGTTGCCAGGATTTTAAAAATGTAATCCCTTCTAGTTTTTGAATTCATAGGAGAAAATAAACAAACATGCTACAGCTTATGTAACAGAGCTGAAAATGAGAAGTGGATTGGGGGGTGTATATGCATGGTTGTTTGCGTAGAGGAACATTCATGTTTAGGCTGTAATTATTGATATGCCCACACACTTTCATAGAGTTATTTTTGGCTCACGGAAGGGTATGAAAGCTGAGGTCAGCTTGAGCCTTTCCTATAGCATCTTCCTTACCAGCACTCATAAAACAAAAGAGTTTCCTCTTTGTTTATAGGAGGTAAAGCATTTTCTAGGTGAATTATATTTATTCAATTAAAAAATCAACTTCTGAATTAGTTTAAATATTTTATACTTTGTAGAGCACAAGTATTATTAGATAGTACAGTGTGCTATACTTGAAATCACTTAATATTGGCATAACTGATATTTTGAAGATGTTTTTTCCTAAACATAAATCTCTAAGTAAGACAGATTTAAAAAATTAATCAATAATAATCTCAGTTTTAGAGTAATAAAGTATTGCAATTTTAAAGACTAAGGTGCATTTCTTTGCTTTACAAGGAAAATCATTGGACCTTACTATTTGGAAATGATGGTTTTACCTAGACACTGTCCACAATCTCCTCTCCTTGGCCTTGATTCATCCAACTGAGACCAGAACCTTCTGCCCCATGCCATTTTTTTTTTTTTAATGAAAAAGGTGTAAACAAGGGGCTCCAAGTACAAAGGCTTAAAAATCAGAGCTGGGACAGGGAGTCTATAGAGGAAAGGACCCAGAAAGGGTGGGAATATTCTTGTTGTGAATCCTGACATCAAAGAATTCTCTTTGTCCCAACTAAACAATGCACCAGGAGAGCAGAGAAGGGAGTTCCAACATAGCCTCACTCTTAACTGGGTGTAGTATATGGGACAGCTTCACACACGTGTGTTCCCAGGGTTCAGACTACTTCCCATCCCTGATCCCTCAGGAGTAATGTGTGACCTGGGACCAGAGGTGTGGTTCCTACTCACTCTTTAAGATCACCACCTCAACTACACCAGTTAGGATGGCAACCATAACGCTAGACTGAAAGAAAACTCAATATGAGCTTCGTCTATTCAGATTTACAGCCATCTCTTAACTATGGAAAAGTCCAGATTGAGGATGAGCAGCAGGGTAAACTGAGACATTATTGTTGCTGAAGGACTTTCTTCACTGTTTGCAGATGCTTTTCAATAAAAATCCAACAGGAAGAGCTCTTTCTTTAGTCAGGAAGAGTCATACTTAAGTAAAGACACTAATAAAAAGAAAATAAAAGAAAACTAACAAACAAAAAACCCAAACCCCATAAACAAACAAACAACAAAAAACCCCACAAAAACAAACAAACAAACAAAAACCCAAAACACTCCAATTCCATACTGTCATTCATAAAAAATGACTTCCATACAAGCATCATTGTATTGTACTTGGAGAATTTTTTTGCAAAATGATATGTAGGATGCTGGTCAGACTTAGAAATAGGAAAGCCTGAAGCACTATGGAAATAAGGTCTAAACCTGTCTAAGCTGAAAGAAAATATTTTATTTTATCCTACGATAATTATGTCTCCCTGTCACTCATGTTCCTTAGCATGTCAAAGATTTTTAATTATATAGAAAAATAAACTTTCTGCTTTTTCTTTCTTTTCCTGAAGTGTCAACAAAATTAATGATTATGATTTTTTTTAATTTAAAAAGTCAGTGAGATGTGAAGCAGGACTTTTTTTAAAAAAACTAAAATGAGCTAAATTTTGTGTTTCTTAGACTTAAGATATTTCTAAATCTCTCTCTCTCTCTCTCTCTCTCTCTCTCTCTCTCTCTCTCTCTCTTCAGGGATTGAACCCTGGGGCATTTAAGCACTGAGCCACATCCCCAGCCTATATTTAAAATTTTAAAATTTGAGACAGGGTCTCACTAAGTTGCTTAGGGCCTTGCTAAGTTGCTAATGCTGGCTTTGAACTTGCAATCCGCCTGCCTTTGCTTCCTGAACTGCTGGGATTACAGGCACACACAACAATGGCTGGCTTCCAAATTTCTTTAAAAATTATAACCTCAATTTGCTAAATCATATTCCCAATAACCATTTTAAGTACACACTTTGATAACACAACAAATATTACTGGGAGTCCTCACATAATGTATTTCATTATTGAGAATCATATTAAGCAAGAGTGAACCAAGTTACACAGAGGGGTAGCTGGCAAAAAGCTAAGAATTTAGAAGAAAAAAAGGCCAAATGTCAACAATCAGAGTTCAGAAATCATACTCCAAGCTAACCATGAAATTGTTAAACGCCTTCAAAAATATGCAATTTAAATATATTAAAATATTCATGTCCCCTGCCACCACACACTGCTGATGGGTGTGTGAAAGCAGGCATTACCCCGTCATTTCTGCCTGATGAGACATTTCTGGTTTTCTTAAGAACATTACGCCAATAAACTTATTTTGGCCAGAAATATTTTTACATTTTTATTTCGAAAGAAACTTATATTTGCAATGACCAGTCCCAGGTTTGTTGAACTACAAAAATATAAATGAAAGATTGAAAAGAAATATAATTTTTAAGTTTACTTTAAGTACAATTTTATTTTAAAATTTTAATGCAAATCTAGACCAAAGACAGAATCCATGTGAATCTTTTACTGTTACTTTTGTTGATACTTTCATAGTACTCTTATGTAAAATAACTTAAAATCAACTTTTATAAGGCTGGAAGCTTAAAAACTTTCTCCTACTATTGTTTTATGTATTTGGTTGATGTATCTTTGTTCCTCTTTCTACTTTACTTTTAATAATAAATAGTCCTCATACACAGACCACAAGTTTTTCTTTTTCTTAATAGGGGTTTACAGGAAAAAAAAAATTTCCACATCTGTAAACTAGAACTTTAAACATCTACTTCATATATATTTGTTTAAGGACAATTTAGTCTCAACATACACTTCAGTGTGAATAATGCCCATTGAACAAATAAAAATCTATATTAAACCAAAACTGCATTTAGAAGATTTTTGGTCTATATTATAGTAAGTTATTACTTTGACTAGCTTCTCATTTTTTCACCACACGGTTTTGGCACTGTATAGATAAGCTGTGGCATTTTTAAGAAGGTGAAGTTTCAAAACAAGAGCAAATTACTGTTAATATCTTCTTGATGGGTGTTATTAACACCTATTAACATCAATAAGAGTAACAGGGTTGTACCCAGGGCAAAATAGTAGCCTACTATATCTTTAGTAACAAATGGAAATTTAGGGATGAAATGTTAACATTTAGTGAAATACTGAATTTTTTGTGCTGCTTTTTCACGAAGTGAAATACAACCATAAATCAGAAACAGCTTTTGAAAATAAGTATGATTATTAAGCTTTTATGAAGGCAATTCTGAACTCGTCACTCACTTAGGATATTTCCACCTTAAAAATAGCAATGCCTTATATGTAATTTTCTGGAGAAAAGTGGACACTTTTAAATGCAAAAAAATTTGCATTTTATTTCTAAGTGTAAAATCAATATTTCACTTAGAAATGGAAAAAAATAAAGCACATTTAAATAATTTTATTGCACTGGAAGTTGCCAATTCGTCTGTGAGTAGATTCATTGCAGATGAAAAGAAATCAAAATACAGGACAGATGTTGAACAAACCGCATTTAAGTTCTGTCACACACTGGCATTTTTCAAAAGATTTTGGATCATCTATTAAATAAGGTGCATTTTGCTTGATTTTGAAAAGGGAAACATCAGGAAATATTTAAAGGCCAATTGCTGCCAATTAACTTTGATCAGTTAAAGTTCTATTTGAATCTTTCAGATTCTTCTCCTGTCTGAAATAACATACATTTATAAAATCTAGCAAAACAACAACTTGATGATTAATGCCTGTTGGCAGCCCTACCACAAGCTTGCTTAACAGCAAGATTTAAATAAACAACTGTCTCTATTAAGGAGGGAGTGAAATGTAGTTTTAGTCATGTTTTCTCATAATGGAGATGTGAAAAAACAATATTCTTTATTCTTAAGAATGTGGCTTACCAAGATCCTTGTGTTTGTCAGTCCCCATAACACATGGAACATTACAAAAGTTTCCCCAAAATTGCAATTGACCAATAAAACCATCAGCAGTTAGAGAGAAGAAATCTTAGCAATCCAAACAGCAGAGGCCTGACTTAAATATTCTTCAGACAACTGTACTAGCCAGAAAAGCATCTGATCTAATACACTCAGATCCTAATGCAGACTGGATTTGCAAGGATCGTGAGTTCTATTGAGTTCTAAAGGAAATACATCTCAACAGTCATTATAGAATTGAGAAATATGAAGCTTCTGATAATCAACAAAATGCAATATTTAGGATTCTTGATATCAAATTTTAATCCTTACCAATGGGTCATATGGGATCTAACTTTGAACCACAACAGCCAAAATAAAGCAAAACAGAAACACCATGAAGGCCAAATATTGCTGTATAGTAAAAAAATCCCTTTAATTTTTCCAACTATTTATTTTTAAATATAATATTCCATTGTTACTTTCAAAATCGGCCAGCTATTTTCAGACATGCAACATAGAATATGTGCAAAACAACTGGAACTTACTTCTAAGTCATTGAAAAACAGGTGTGTGTCTGCCAAGTTGAAAATCATTTCCTCCATTCGTAGTCCCAGGGAAACTGAAGTGGGTGGATCCTAAAAGAAGAATTGTAAAGGTCAAAAACATATAAACTCCTCAGATTACATACAATAAAGTGTCATGTCAAAAGGGAATCTTTATCAGAAGAGGTGGAAAGCAAGAGACACACAAGAAGTCCTGGGCTCCAGCTGCTTTTAATGTGTATTATTTACTCTGTGTACAAAGTTCAGGGACTTACTGCATACAAAGTGCCCCAAACATTTGTTGTTACTTTGCATAATGAAGAAATAACTTATTGCCTATAATATTAAAATAAGACATAGGGTTACTTAGACATACAGAAGAAATTAAGCTTTATGTATCTGTTTCAGGAGCAAGAAATTCGGTGAATCAAGAAGTCATTGTTTATATTACACCACTGATTAATTTCACAAAGGTGGTAAATATAACTTCTCTAGATGATAACTCTCTATCATCTCTATTTATTTGGACTGCATGTCAACTTCAAGTATACTCTAGTTAGGAAGCGGTGGCCAAGCTGATCATCTGGCATCATGTCCAGCTCAGGATATTGATCTTAACAAACAGCTGGTACCATTCACTGAGAGGGGAACACTAGTATTCAGAAATGTCTAGTGGCTTCTAGTACTTTAAGCCTTGAATCCTAGTGGTGAGTAGTCAATCTTTCCCATATACACATATCTTGATATCTCCTGCTACTGAAATGAACTCAGAGCCTATGCAGCTATTTGTATTCTTTTTTTAAAATTCTTTTTAGTTGTAGTTGGACACAATACCTTTATTTTATTTTTTAATTTATATTTGGTGCTGAGGATCAAACCCAGCGCCTCACATGTGCTAGGCAAGCACTATACAGCTGAGCCACAACCCGAGCCCCTATTTGTATTTTTTATGGTGTTACTGTATTTGTAATGTATCAAACCCAGGAAACAACATGTTTCATAAGCTGAAATATTGCAGACTAAGTAAAGAAGAAAAAATTTCCAAAGAGAAAGTACACAAGGGATATAAAACAAGTGAAGATTTTATTGGGAATCTAAAAATAATATCAACTTTTATGTGCATGGCATCTAAAGTTTTTCCAAAAAAAACCCCATTTCTGATATACTTCTTTATTATCAAAACAAACATTTGGAGTAAGTACATTATCTACCTGTATCATCATTTAACATAGGAAATTGTAATTAGAGAAATTATACCTAGGTTACACTACCCATCTGGAGGAAGTGTATTCTGTACCTTTGAGCATTATATTAGAGTTGACAACATAAAACTCCAAGAAAGTAAGATCCTAATTATCCAATCCTGTCCAACATAAGTTGTACTATCTTCATCCCAAATCTCAAGACTTGCGTGTGTCTTACATGCACTCTATTCTCCGTATATCTAAAGTCTATCATGTCTATCTTCTCCTGCCCTTTGGGAGGCAGCAAGAAGTGATAGAAGAATCCTAGATTGAGAAGCCAGGCACTAACTTTGCTCTACCATAGAAAAATAACTTTAAAATTTTTATCTCTCAATTTGGTACACTTAAATGTCTGATTAACCAGGAGAGAGCAGGAGCCTGGATTGGAGGGATGGAAGTTACTTCCCTAGCAACTATCACAGGCCACTCTGCTGCAACCAGGAAGGTAAAGCCAGCACCACCACACTTGCCAGATCCACCCACCCCATTAGCACCCCCACTCACCACCAGCCCTGGCCACACCCTACCAGCACCTCTTACCTTGCCCATACCCTGCCAGCACCACCTATCCTGTTGGCACTGCCCACATCCCATCACCACCCACAACTTTGCCAGCACCACCTATCCTGTTAACACCACCCACCCAGTTAGCACTACCCATTCCTCACAAGCACCACCAACCCTGTTAGCACCACCTACACCTAACACAGCCCCTAACAGCATTGTCGTGTAGCTGTCTACCAGTAGTTCCAGAGGAAGGAAAGTGCATTCGTGAAAATGTGGTAGGATGGCATCCCTAGCTGCAATTCCTCTCCTGAGCACTTTCTCTGGCAGTTGACTGACAGTGGTAAAGAGGCAGAGGACACAGATTGCCAAAAGCTAGAGGTTTGACTGGCACAGAGGCAAAGCAAACACCCCAGGAATTATGAAAGGACAGGGAGGAAATAAAAACGCAGAGACAAATCAAGTGTCCAAAAAATAGCCAGGGGAGGTACAAATGAAAACAATTCCCTCGAATTTCCTGTGGGGTGATTCATGCTCCTCAGGTCTCTTAAACTGTCCTTGTTTAATACCACCTAAGATCTATGAAACCTCCTAAGTTGTTGAAGAATGAAAATCAGTTAACAAGAAAAACTAACTCATTTATTATGGGTTTTATAAGAAATTGTTCATTCACAAGGATGCTATCACTGAGTGTGCTTGGAAAGAACTAATGTTCAAATGTGCCCTGGAGCAGAATTGACCAGTAGAGAAAGTTCAAACAGCTGTTTCTAAAACAAAACACCTGACTAAGGTGTATACTCCCTCTAGTTCAGGCCAATAAAAATACACTGACTTGTCTCATAACCATGCCAATGAATCTTTTTATGTGGCAAGGGTGGAGACTCACCACATTTATTTAATTGCCAATTATGGAATTTATGTGCCATAGGATTGTTACTTTTGAAAAAGTATTATTTCTCCTTGATATGGTTGCTTATTTATATGGCCATCAAAAGAATTACTCTATTGTTTGTTAATATATAGCTTACTTTAACTTTTCTTCATAAATTACAGTAATGACTTGCTGGTTGGAATAGTAATAAATTTTAAAGGCTTGCTCAGTCTGTGGTAAAATACAACACAGATGTCGGCCTTATTTACCTTTTAATGTTATTCTCTTTTGTTATTAGCAGTCATTCCTTAACAGTTTTTATACCTGCCGCTCCACAGAACATTTGAAACATTTACTATATCGAATGTGCAACTGGCAGTTAACTGGAAAGAGAATTTTAAAACAGGAAGGGGATCTGGTGGAGACCAGTGTTTCTCAAACATCTTTTAACCAGAATCCACAGTAAAAATAAAAAAAATCATTTTACAAATCATTTTACACCATGATCCATCCATCTCTCCCACCACCCTGTCAACTGACATTTAGTTTGGCAAAATAAGACTTGACTCACTATGTGGAGTGCATTTTGATATTTTGCATTTCTGAGCCCTCTCATGATCAATTTACAGTTTGCAAAGCAGAGCTACAGGAGGGACCCACTCATTGACGTAGAGATGGGGACTTTGGTTCTAGCACCTGTGGTTTTGTGCATGGTAGCTGAGCTGCCAAGCCATCACACCCTAATTATTTCACCTGAGAGAAACTAGCAGAAGGGAGACAGATATCCATGGCCACAGATTTGCCTACATAATTCGAGCAACTGGAATTCTTCTCATATCAGTTAGATTTCATTTTCCTATTTTAATACCTTCAAAAAATTTCAAATGTGTCAAATGTGACAAAAGCTAATATCGAACAGTTAATAAGTTAGTCATGGCTGGATGGCTTATTTTGGCATAAAAGAAGAAAAAAAAACATTCTCACACCAACACTTAGGCATGAAAATCGCCATGTCTTTGGCTTAATTTTACTTTTCTTGAAATAACTAATCATCTTGTAATAACGAAATCCAGGACTGAAGTTATGAAATGACTTTCTCTAGGACAACATTGTTTGCTGTACCACTTTTGAAAATGAATTTAGAGCTTTGCCTCCACTTCAAAGTTACACCTCACTTGAGTAAATCTTATCGCCGTATGTTTTCTGCTCTTTCCTGAACTTGACCCTTTTGTGGCTTTTGGCATTGTTTACTCTCTTCTTGACATTTCTCCTCCTGAGTGTCTAGGATGGCCATGATCTTTCCTGGACATCTTCCTCCAATCTGACTATCCATCACCTCTGTCAGTTCCTGGGCATCTGCTCTCCTCTATTCCTCACTCTATTCCGACCACGTTGCCACTCATACACACTCATGGCTTCACCCATCACCCCACTTCCCTCTCTCAGATCAAAGATCTTGACTGTAGGTCTGGACATCAATTATCCAGGGGTCATTTTTCCTTGGATGTCCAAAGAGCAGCTGAAACTCAATGTGTGACAAGTCCAGTTCATTTTATTTTCTCTGAAAATGTACTGTATTTCTTCCTCAGATCAGGAGCCTCCTACCAAACCCAAAATCTGGCTGTCTCATGCATAGCCTCTCTCTCTTCCCACATCTAACTGGTCATGCACTCTGCCACTTGGACCTGCAATTCCTGCCTCTCTTCTCTTCACCACCATTCTTTGTTTTCATGTTTTATTACCCACTCCAGACGTGGGTCTCCTCTGTGAATGTCTTCAATGGTCTCCTTTCACTGGGGTCTATTTTCAGGGTCTGACTAACTCCCATTTCAATCTCCTTCAAGAAATACCCAAACATTTCAGCAAGTAGCAAAGGACCATAAATGTCTGGCTTTTACTTTTCTCCCTAATATGTGACCTATTTGTGGTTTTTCCAAACTATTTTTTTTATCATGAAATTCTTCAAAAGATGATGCGGTTGAAGCCTAATATATATTATACCATCGTGTACTATAATAATATATTTAAAACATACTATGTCATAGAACTGTAGTATCATGTCAATCTATTTAATAATATAAATAATATATCTTTATTATAATATAAATAATATATAAATTTGAATTAATATAAACATGAATAAATGTTATATTAATTTGAATATTTAAATATGCCATATTTTAAAATATATAGTTATAAAAGTGAAGTGAACTGATGCAAAATCCTACCTAAAGACCTTAATGATATTTGGGCAAGGGATCTGTCCTCACACGATACCCACATTAACACACTGAGGCCTCTGACCAAGACTGCACCCCCATGCCACCATTCAGCACCTCTGCCTCCCTGAACTTTCCCAGCTGGGCTCAGCAGCCACTGGGTACCACAGCTATTTGTGCTCTTGTCTAAAGAGGGCACAGGATTATCCCTCTATCCTCCTTTTGTTTGGGTTTGGAATTATTTTATTTCTTTTC